CAAGTAGGCGTGGTCTTATAGCCATGTGCACTGAGATGATAATAGTAGATAGAATGTGTGAAGTACTTGCAAAGATGATAATAGTAGATAGTATGTGTGAACTTACTTGTAAAGATGAGAATAGTAGATAGAATGTGTGAATTACTTGCAAAGATGATAATAGTAGATAGAATGTGTGAACTTACTTGTAAAGATGAGAATAGTAGATAGAATGTGTGAACTTACTTGTAAAGATGATAATAGTAGATAGAATGTGTGAATTACTTGTAAAGATGAGAATAGTAGATAGAATGTGTGACTTACTTGTAAAGATGAGAATAGTAGATAGAATGTGTGAATTACTTGTAAAGATGATAATAGTAGATAGAATATGTGAATTAATTGTAAAGATGAGAATAGTTATAGAATGTATGAACTTACTTGTAAAGATGAGAATAGTAGATAGAATGTGTGAATTACTTGTAAAGATGATAATAGTAGATAGAACGTGTGAACTTAATTGTAAAGATGAGAATAGTAGATAGAATGTTGAACTTACTTGTAAAGATGAGAATAGTAGATAGAACGTGTGAACTTAATTGTAAAGATGAGAATAGTAGATAGAATGTATGAACTTACTTGTAAAGATGAGATAGTAGATAGAATGTGTGAATTACTTGTAAAGATGATATAGTAGATAGAACGTGTGAACTTAATTGTAAAGATGAGAATAGTAGATAGAATGTATGAATTACTTGTAAAGATGATAATAGTAGATAGAAACTTGTGAGTGTGACTTACTTGTAAAGATGAGAATAGTAGATAGAATGTGTGAATTACTTGTAAAGATGAGAATTAGTAGATAGAACGTGTGAATAATTGTAAAGATGAGAATAGTAGATAGAATGTATGAACTTACTTGTAAAGATGAGAATAGTAGATAGAATGTGTGAATTACTTGTAAAGATGATAATAGTAGATAGAACGTTGTGAACTTAATTGTAAAGATGAGATAGTAGATAGAATGTGTGAATTACTTGTTAAAGATGATAAATAGTAGATAGAACGTGTGAACTTATTGTAAAGATGAGAATAGTAGATAGAATGTGCAAATTACTTGCAAAGATGAGAATAGTAGATTGAATGTGTGAACTTACTTGTAAAGATGAGAATAGTAGATTGAATGTGTGAATTACTTGTAAGATGAGAATAGTAGATAGAATGTGTGAATTACTTTCAAAGATGAAATAGTACTAAGAATGTGTGAACTTACTCGTAAAGATGAGAATAGTAGATAGAATGTGTGAACTTACTTGCAAAGATGAGTAGATTGAATGTGTAAACTTACTTGTAAAGATGATAATAGTAATAGAATGTGTGAACTTACTTGCAAAGATGAGAATAGTAGATTGAATGTGTGAACTTACTTGTAAAGATGAGAATAGTAGATTGAATGTGTGAAATTTACGGTGCAAAGATGAGAATAGTGATTGAATGTGTGAATTACTTGCAAATATGAAAATAGTAGATTGAATGTGTGGAATTACTTGTAGATGAGAATAGTAGATGGAATGTGTGAACTTACATGTAAAGATGAGAATAGTAGATTGATGT